ACATGTACATAAAAGCACATAGAAAATACTAGCAAAAATAGTCTTCTCACGTATTCTTCACATTATACGCCATGAAATAAAAGAAAGGAAACATGGCATATCCCTTTACGGACAATAAGGACCATTTGACCCTCAAATTTTCATAGGTCTCTTTTCACTTAAAAAAGTTTTCATCAAGAATTCAAGTAATTGTTCGAAAGCTTGAACCTCAAAGATTCCCACATATTGCTTGATTTTCAAAAAAGTCTTTGTAGTACGCTGTTGCAGCAAAAATAAAATCGTGTTTCACACTCGGTTCGCATTCTTTGCCTAGCTAAAGTCTGTGGATCGCTTTTTTTAGATAACACTAAGCTCTTTCGATGGCACCAAATCTCGGCAAAATTGAAGTTTGAATTGGTTGCTCAAAAAAGGTTTTTAAGCGCACTGTGAGAGTGGAAACAAAAGTCACGTCTCACATTCGCAGTTTTCTTTGCACATAGGAGCAAGGATTCAGAAGAAGTAAACAAACTTATAGAAAAAACTATGCTCTACTAGAATCGCACAAAGAACCTAAAGTATTTCACGAAACAGAAATTCGATCAATTGAATCAGATGAGTTAATGTTCCGCAGAGCCACATACTGATCTCTAGTTCGGCGGACAGAAGTGTTAAGCAATATTAGGGTACTATCATATCATATATACTTAAAGGCACATCAAACACTGGCAAAAATAGTCATTTTTACGTACTCCTTAGATCCAACGCCTTCAAAGATAATAAAAAAAAAAAGACGGGAACGGCATATGGAACACCACTATTTTTCACTTAACAAATGACTTCAAACAGTAATCCACAAAAATCCACAACGTCGTGTTAAAATCATAGCTCTACAATAGAAAAAAATCCACCATGATATTCTCGATCCACTAATATTTGGTTAAAAAAATCTTAATAAAATCTTAACCAACCATTGGTGGAGCCAGTTTTTTCGTCAGTTGATTAATAAACTCCGAATCTGATGGCAGCATATCAACCAACTTCATTAAAACCTGAAGAGGAAAGTTACTGGCCATAGTATAGATTTGGAAAGACATTTGAATGATATAATATGGCGAATTATATTGTTGAATAAAACCACTAAATACACATAGAACTGAGTGGACTGGAAAAATCTAACTGAATTGTCGACCAACCCCGTTCGAGAATGAAAAAAGCAGTCGTGTAACAAATACTTGTTGATTACACATATCCAATGGCAGTAAGTTCAACTGAGTTCAATGCCGACATGTGCTTATGAGACTATACCGTTGACGGCTGGCTGCTGACAGTTTTGATATTTTAAACCAAGAATGATAGCAGAACAGGAGCTCCGATAGTGTCGTGGTTGCCTTCGTAAAGGATGAGACACGGGTTGAACTCCTGCCCGAGGGTCAATGCTTTACGTGTCATTCAATTTTTTAGATAATTTACACGATGCACCATCAGAACTTTCATTGTGCGGACCCCAGTACTTCTAGCATTCATTTCGCCTTTGGTCTTCTTGAATGACGTAGAATAGTGGTCGACCATCCTGGCAATTTCGAGGATAGCCTGGCTGTGGCGTTCCACAGGGCGTTTTGCTTGACTGCCGGAGAGAGTTGGGGGGAGGGGAGGCAGAGCATGGCTCCACGTGCGCCGCGACGAGTATCACAATCATTCGGCCACAATGCACCTCATATCATTCAATAGAATAGGATATAAAGTAACAACATCGTAGCACTGATAGAAAAGCAGTTGAATAAAGGATTCATATCGATTGTAAAAACCACATTTGAAAAAATACAGAAAAGGATAAGTTTAAATTCAGACTTTAAATTCAGACCTTGACGGTGGACAGCACCACGGCCGCATTGGCATGGGCAAGGCGAGGAGATATCCGCTCGCAAATGTTTTGAGCTTCTCTTTCGTCACGAGGTCGATAGCCGGCGAGTGCATCCAGAATAAATACCTAGGAAAATCATAGCTGATTGAACACGAAACAGTCGAACTAAAGACGCGTGAAAGCATCTAATGCATACCTGACCCCATTCAGTACATTCGTTAAGAGCCGTCAACAATTTATTCACCATCTGACTATTCACCTTAAGAACTGCTATAGATGGCATATATTCAGAAATGATCAATCACTTGGGATTGGTCAGGTACAAGCCAAATACCTCTATTAATGGTCTCTGCTCATTTATTTCGGTCAAAGCGGCGACAGCATTTGCGACAACCATAGGATTTGCATCGGAGAGTAGGTCGTTTAAGAGTTCGACAAACCCTGGATTAGAGACAATAAGAAGCTATTTCTAAAACCTGCTAGCTATTAATACTGACACTGTTCATTAACTCACAGTTTTTCTTTTGTAAATCAAACACGAGATTCTCATCATAGAATATATTCGAACTGCTAACACATCGGCGTTTTCATCTTCTCGCCTTCTTCACAGCCGTTTTTTCTCAGTCTTTCACTGAACTGTCCAAATATAGATCAACCGTGCAAAGTTCACATAGACTACCAATGCCAAAAGATATCTTAGCTCGACAAGAATTTCCACTTTGAATCACAGTTCATTCTATGTAAGAGAAACACCAGGTTGTTATTAGCATTGGCAGTCCATGTGAACGCTGACTCAGTGGACACCATAAAACTTTATTGATCCGTCTTCACAGCGCTTATTTTCGCTGTGCGGATCCCATTACTTCTACCATTCAATTCGCTATTTCGTCTTTTTCTTGAACGGCGTAGAGAACTGGTTGAGCGAGTCTCCTTGCAACCTCGAGCATAGCATGGCTGTGGCGTTCCATGGAGCGTTCATTATTGATTGCCAGGGGTACTAATAGGCGGGGTTTATCATGCGCGCGCCGCGACAACTTTACAAATACTCGGCCACGTGTGGGGTTTATAAAAAGCGGCTCTGAAGAAAGGCGAAACCACCAAAAGATCAGCTGTTTGAATTATCATATAATAACAATCTCGTTCTTGGTTTTCAAAGAAAAAATCGTGAATAATAAGTAGCGAGAAGATCACAACATTAACCAAAAGTCACAACACAGAATCTGATCATGGAAATGATACCTTGTTCTTCTACAAGTTTCGGATTCATGTCATGAAGTTTCGCGACGCATACTGCTGCTGTCTTACGCACATAAGGATCCTCATCCTGTAGCAAAAAAAATTTCGCAAAAAACAAAAGTTTTGAATCGAATTTCGGAACTGTGGTATTATGTTCATGCGAAAAAAACCCTAGTAATGACGAAAATACGAAAAAAAAACAACCAAGACAGAACTAATGCGTCAATCCAAATTGACTAACCGACCTTCATACATTTGCGTAGCGGTTCACATAGATACTCGGTGATTTTCTCTACACGAATACATCCCATTGTACGTACTGCGAGAGCACGAATAAGAGGATTCGGATCTTCACAGTCCTAGGAAGGCCAGGCTACATATCGGCACGTAAAAATAGCAGAACAATATGATTTAGAGCAACCTTGACGAAAGTATTAACAGCCATGATGGCAAGATCCGGTTGACTCTTCGCGTAATTCATGAGATACAAATAGACGAGCTTCTTCAATTCAACATTGTCCGTCTGCATACAGTTGACGACATCAGGAAACAATGCACTAGGAAGATTTTACTCAAAAGAAATGTTGTGTTGAATTTTACTACATATACTATTTCACTTGACTCGTATCACAGTCTCTTCGCTTTTGCAGTGCGGATCCCACTACTTCTAAGGTTTGATTCGTCTCCTCCGTGCTTGAGGATTTATATTCTTCAACACCGTAGAATACTCGCCGAGCACGTCTCCTGGGAAGCCCGAGGATAGCTAGGCTAGAGCGTTCCGTAGTTGTTCGTTATTAACTACTAGCAAGTGTTGGGCGGCGGTGGAGGTTCAGTCCCGTGTCGAGCTCCGCCGAACATCACTAGCCACTCCGCCGCCGGCCCCCTTTCACTACATTTATGCAGGAAAAATCCATGGATATACATCTAAGAATGCTGAGTGATATATAGAACATTCGAATCCAGGCGCTTGGTTGCTGACAGCTACGACAGTTCATACCGAGGAGTGATTGGTAGAAGAGCGCTGACATCGATGGCGTAGTAGTAGCAATGTTCCATGGTATGGGAGAAACGCTGGTTCAAATCTCGCCTGGCACAGAATGTTGCAAAACCCTCAGTATTCTTTATATGTGTTTATAACATCAAATCACTGCTAAGAAATAGCAAAATAGAGATTTTGTGTGGATTTGCAAGAAAAAAGTCTCTACACTCTAGAGCTTACCTTACGTCCTTACCCACAGTCATACTCGCAATCACCTTCTTAACAGCTTCACGCTTTTTCTCCTTCTTGTCCGAATTCAGTTCAGTCTTAAGCTCAAAGATCTCGCCTGAAAAACGAACTGAACTGAATGAGAACGGCTCAAAAAAAGGCAAAAATTAGAGAAATACCTTTTTTGGTAGTAGTGAAATACTTTGAATCCGTCATTCTTACGCTGACTACCAGGACACGACCGGATCTTCACTCCTGAGTAGCTTTCATCAGACATTTTGAGCAATAAAGTGTGGAGATTTTCCGAGAATAAGCATACCACGAAATTTTACAAGCTCGAAAGTGTTCAGGTATCTTTGAAGGCCTCGACAGGGCACCTATTACTTTGATAAGTCACTTCCAAAGAAAGACCATGGCTTTACCCCCCAGGCCTTGCTCAGTATCTGAAGTTTCTCCTTCATGTGCCAAGAAAAAGCCTCTCCATAGAAAGTAGTGTGAGGAAAAGTTGCTTTGCTCCTAACCCTTTCGAACCGTGTACTCATGGCCGCTGCGTCTCTAACTGGGAATTGTGGACGATCCGCTCCACGTCTCCTGCATCTCTAACCCCCAACGTCTTGCGTCCAACGATTTCAACAAGAATTTTTTTCGTTAACCGCCTTTTAGTGATGGATAGATATTACAAATATATCCAATGATGTCGAGTGTGCGCAAAACCTTTGCGTCAGGCGGGACTCAAACCCATACCTCTTCTTTTCCGGAGGCACGTGCTCCAACCAACTGCCCTACTGACGCTTGTTACATTATCAATCTTCAATTTACAGTATCTTCTTTATGAGACAACAAAAATCTCACAGAAAAAGAGAAGGTCTCTCCATAGAAAGTAATGGGTGGGGGTGGTGGGAAAGCTATTTTGTTCTTAATGCGATAGTTGAACTACTGAAGTTCCGGCGGATCTCGCCCTTTTGAGAGCCTCGAAAACTAAGGACTTTTACAGCCTAGTTAGCCAAAACCGTTCATAACCTCATCGGAAAATATAATCATGTGCAGATTTCTAACGCATTAACCCTTTCGGGACCGTTGACCCACGATTTCTGTATCTCTGACTGGTAACTGTGGACGGTGTGTCCCACCTCCCCTGCATCTCTAACCCACAGCGTGTTGCGTCGAACAACGGCCCGCTGAAGATTAGCGAAGCAGAGGAGGTGAAGCAGATCGTTCAGAATTGCCAGTTAGAGATGAAGAGGTCGTGGGTCCACGCTCCCCAAATGGTTAATGCGATATGCATCTGCGCATGGTCATGATTTCCGATGAAGTTATGGAGAGTTCTGGCTACCTACCAGAGTTGTCAGAGACGTAGAGGTTGTGCGTCCACAGTACCGAAAGAGTTGATGCGATAGAAATCTGGGCATGATTATATTTTCCGAAGAAATTATAGATGTTTCTGGCTAATCGGGCTTGAGAAAACCTTAGTTTTCCAGGCCCTCAAGAAGACGAGATCCGCCGGAATCTAAGCATTTCAATGGTTTTTAATACAACTCCGTGCTTTGATTTTGAGGAAAAAAAACAGAAAAGGGAAAAAAAGAAAAGAGAAGAGAAAGAAAAGAGAAAATTCACAGAGAAAAACTATGAACTAATTAGAGTATCGAGGGAAAAAATAAAAGCTCAAATCACTGGTCAGCTTATTCTTCGAATCTTCTAAGAAGAAGATAGCGTGAAATTGGAACTTAACATAAAATCAGTTGTAACAATATTCAAAACGCCATATATAATGTGTATATATATGTGCGTATATACAGTGTATATGTACGTACACGCGCATACATGTATACACATCTGTTCACGCACATCCATGTACACACGTATATACACAGCATTTATACGTGTAAGCTGTAGATGCACGTATACGTGTACACGTATACACGTTTGTCTACGTACGCATGCATAAACACATACATGTACGCACGTGTATATGTTATGTGTATGTCGGTACTCATGTATATACAGATATACACGTGAAGACACAACGAACAACGAGAAAGATGAGGACGGCGGAGCGACTAGGATGCACTCGATATGCGCCAGTGAAATTTGACCCGCGTCAAATCCTTTGCACCAATTGCACTTCCGCCACTGTCAGAGGTGGGGAGGGAGTTGTGGGCGAGTGGTTAGTGATGCTCAGTGCGGAGCCGATCCCCCACCCCCCAGCACTCTGTGGTGATTATCCAACGAGTGCCCCAGCCTGGCTACCTTTCAACGTTGTTGGGAGATCTGCCCGATCAGCAGTATTCTGCGACGTCTATGAAGAGAGGAAAACTTCAAGCAAGCGATGAACGACGCGAGGAGACGAATCGAATGCTTGAATTACTGGAATTCGCACAATGAATGTGAAGCCGGGTCATCACCTGTCACCTGTTGTCCTGCTGATCGTCGAGTGACTCGAAGGGGTAACAGCAATACTTCGATTTTTTATTGCGTAATAGAGTACCCTAGTGAGCCCTCATCGCTGTAGGGATTCGGTGAGCATCATATCTATTTTCTGTGCCTTTCGTGAAGAAATGTACCAACGGGTCGGTGGCCAGGTAGAGCGCTTGATATCCCGAGGAATCCAGTCGGTAACGGCTCTCGTCCATCGGTTGTGTTGTCAAGCGCATCACGTGTCCGGCCCACTTTATTTTCGATGTCCTGGTGTGCAGAACGGCGTCTCTGATTTTCGATCGTTGACGTAGGTCGGAACTTCGGATCCTTTTCCTCATTTGCGAGATACGGGATACTCCTAGCATCGACCTTTCGACTGCGCGTTCGATAAAGTCAAGTGTTCCTTCGTCCTGCTTACGTAGCGACCAGCTTTCTAACGCATACGTTGGGGAGGGATAATTGTCGAGTCGAAAAGGTGGGCACGGAGTCGGATGTTCTTAGTCCTCTGCACTACATCTTGATGCTCTTAAACGTTTCCCAAGCCGCTCGTTTCTCTTGCTCAACTCTGGAGCTAGGTCGTTCATCATGTTGACTTCACGACCTAGATAGACGTAGCTGGAGCATTCGGAGATTGTCGTTCCGTTGAGCGTGAATGGGGCATTAGAAATCCATCCGTTCCTCATGAAGCATTGTTTTCGTTAGATTCAGTTGAAGACCAATCTTTCCACAGGCGTTATCGAAATCGGTCAACATTCGTTCCGCTTGGCTGATGTTTGGTGTTATGAGAACGATATCTTTAGCAAAGCGAAGATGGTGTAATTGTCGACCGTCAATTTTTCACTCCATATCGTCCCATTTTGATGTTCGCATGACGTTTTGTAGGGTGACAGAGAATAGTTTTGGCGAAATTGTATCGCCTTGTCGAACCCCTCTTCTTACGTCAATGGTGATACTGTTGTGGAATGGAGATATTTTGGTCGCAGAATCTTCATAAAGCTCACGAAGAATCATTATGTACCGAGTAGGAACGCCCTGGTTATCCAGAGCCTCTATAACCGCCTGTGTTTCCACTGAATCGAAGGCTTTCTTCAGATCGATGAAAGTGAGACAGAGTGATTGCTTGTACTCTCGTGAAACTTCAATGAGTCTTGTAATCGTGTGGATATGGTCTAAGGTGCTAAATCCTTTTCGGAACCCTGCTTGTTCGCATGATTGTCGCTTCGTCCACTGTTGTGTCAATCCTGTTTGAGGACGACTCGAGTGAAGAGTTTATAGACAACGGACAGCAAGCAGATTGGGCGATAGTTGCCCATGTCGTGATGGTCTCCCTTTTTGAACAACAATACGGTCTTGCTGGTTTTCCATCGAATAGGAACTTGCATTCTGACAGGTAGCGTGTGAAGAGCCGAGCCAGGGTGTCGATGAGAACTGGCGGCAGGTTCCTCAGATGTTATGGTCTAATCCTCTCTGGACCGGGTGATGTTCTTTTCTTCATCGACGATATAGCATGTCGGACTTCGGAAGGGAGGACCGGTGGAACGACATATTCATCTTTTTCAATTCATATGACGGTAAGAGGACATGGCTAGCGAAGAGATTCGAGTAGTACTGGTGGATGATTTTCTCCATTGCCCTTCTGGAAGCTGTAAGTGTACCGTCAGGGTATCTGAGTGCAATCATCTTGGTCTCATAGTTGGCGAAGCCTCGCTGGGCTTTGCGAAAGCTCTCTAGCTCGCAGCTTCTGCCATAACTGCTGCTCGTCTCTCTTTGAGGTCTTCTTTTATCGCTTCTCTGCAGCGTTTCGCAAGATCGGACGTAAGGTTTCGGTTGCCTGTAGCTCGTGCGATTCCACGTTGACGTATCAGCTCGAGTGTCTGCGGAGACAAGCGTCTCTTCGTGACCTTAGAACTCTCGGCTTTCATAGCGCTAACGTGAAGATATTCAACGAGTCGATCGTATTCTTCGTCGATGTTGTCGACAACGGTTTCTTACCAGAGCCGACTAATGATTGGAATACATCCCATTTATGCTAGCTCTGGGACTTCGTTGTTTGAATTTAGCGGCTTTCTCTCCTTCCTAGCGAGAAACGGAACGTTGCGCGAGGAGACGATGGTCTGATCCCGTGTAGAACTTAGGAACAACAGCGACATCGGTCAGGCAAAGCCTTCGATTCACTAAGATGTGGTCTATTTCGTTATGGTACTCTCCATAGGGAGACTCCAATGCCCATCACGTGAGAGTGAGGCTTTTCGAATTGTGAGGTTACACATGGATGGCTTTGGTCGTCATGATGAATTTCAGATAGCCTCTCACGCTGTTCATTCCATTCTAACTCTGTGGGTCCCAATGTGACGTTCTTCAGACGTTCTCCTAGGTCCAGTTTTCGCATTAGAATCTCCAACAATGACCTTGAAGAAGGTATGATCATTCTCTGAAGAATCTTTTGAGGTCCATATAGAACACTTCGACTTCGTCTTCGTTATAGCTTGATGTTAGTGCGTAAGCAACGAAGATGGTCAAAGCTGGTGTTGAACGCATCGTTTTGAACCGTAATCGTCGAATACGGGTTGTTAGCTGTACGAATGAATCGATGTTCACGGTCAAATTCGATTTGACGAGGACGCCAGCGCCGCTGTCACCTCTATTATCGCATGTTCCAAGAAACACTTCTCTCCGGTGTCATAAACAGCGTGAAAAGGATGGCGCCTTCTCGTCTCAACCAAGCCAATGACGGTCGTACCTTATTACTCTTGCTTGAATCAATAGAATTTCTACAGCGGATTCGTGAGCAAGTGTTCTTGCATTAAGCGTGGTCTCAATAAAGCACTCGAAAGAAAGGTATAATATGATAAAAATACCAGCCAGCAAGCAATCGAGTGCGAAAACGCTGTGTTAGGTGAAAATTTCGCTTGACATAGAGTGTAAAACGTTCGTCTTCGATAACTCTCTGTAAGGGAGCAGAGCTCCCGAGAAAACTGATTATAAAAATATCGAAAGACGACGGGTTCTGCCCGACTGACGAGTCTGTAAGGACGAAACACGTGTATCGGGCTGTACAAGATCCCTTACCAGACCATATGACAAGTTGGCTCAAATAATAATGAAAGGATTTGTTCTTGCATTGTTGATACAGATCGTCATTTTAGTCCGTTTCAATTTTGGCAGCCTAGTTTGGACCCTAAGCATTCAGCAGCTTCTCCGTACTCGTCCTACTGGCGCTGCCATACCAAGGGCTGTTTCGGAGTCAGGAGAGTGAGGCCCATATTTATTGCTGTTTTTAGAATTTTGATAACCAACGTATAGCCTGCTAGGCTCTGAACGTGGGGGAGGCGACTCCTAACCTCCTAAGTACTTCACAGCCGCTTGAGTGTAGGCTT